ACAATGTATGAGCAGACACTGCACAAAGTCAAATGCATGAGAATCAGGGGTGTCTGTGATCTGGTCCCATAAGAGCACAGACCCTCTGGGAAGGTGCACAGATACCCTCATGAATCCTGAATCTGTGCTCTGCTGGACAGTCTTGTCCCCAGTGACTCCGGGGCAGCTACAAATGTCAACCAAGGTATTATTCCTCCTTGAGCACAGGCGTTCCCACCTCAGCATGGAACTTCCTCATTTCCTACCAGGATCCAAGGAGGAAAACTGGTGGACATGGACACCTCTGTGGTACACATCCTTAATACACTTCCTTAATCCAAGTACTTGATATTCAACCTATGTATCTTTCAACTCAGACAATCTAGGGACATGCAAATATTCTGTTTACTTTATGGTTATTACTGTAGTCTTTTACCATTTGACATTGTGAGTGGAACTCATGTTTAATGCAGGAACTCTGGGAAAATTTGATTGATAGGATAGATTGCTAATATACAGAGGGTGCCAAAAAAATGTATATACATTTTAAGCGAAGAGAAAACTGTGTTACTCAATATTTGTATTACTCAAAAATTGTAATACTCAGTATATACCAATAATGAAAGTCATGTGAATACGTTTTTTTGGCACCCCCGGTATTTAAGGAAGAGCTCACAATTCTCAGACTAGACTCAAAATAGTGGAAAATCTCTCCAAGTAAATCTGTAAGGAGCAAATCTCTACAAACTGAATAACTCACCAACTACCCTAACAGGAAGGGAAACCTCTCTAAGAGAGTGATCTTGGCTTTGGCTCATGCTCCTCCTGACCCATTAAACTGTACAAGGGCATAGGTCATTAAAAGCTAAAATTAACACTTCGTGGGTCTTGCCAGAGAGTTCTGATATCTCCAATGGGAACTTTCCATGCTCTTGTGGCAGACCAACATCCATTGGTGGTGCCATGGGAAAAAAACAAAAATTGAGTTTTCTGCCTTGGTTTTTCCAGCAATTGCCATGTGGGCAGCCTGCAATTGCCATGTGATAACCCCACTCTGGTCACATTGACTCAACAAATATTTATTGGCCATCCACTATGTGCCTGGTACAATGCTGGGTGCTGGGGGTAAAGAGGTGTGTGGAACAGGTTCAGCATGTGCCCTGGAGCCAGGAGAGCTGGCCCTCTACACCAGCCCCAGTATTCACTGGCCATGTAGTTTGGGGCCAGGTCTCAAAAATCATGTAGATTCAAGGCACTGGAAGAGTTCCTAGTGAAAGCAGCACTCCACACCAAGTTAGCAAGAGCTAGATTGAATCCCAGTTCTGCCTCTTACCAGCCGTGTGGTATGAACCGGTGGTCATTTAGAAATGGCCAGAAAGGACGAAGCAGCAACTTCGTAACTTTCACGTAGTTAAATACAATATAATAACACACACATCTAAAGTGTGCAGCTTGATGAGTTTTCCACATGTATCCCATGGAACCACCACCTAGATCAAGATATATAATATTTCCAGCACCCCAGTAGATAAAATTTTTAAAGAGAAAATATCAAAAGACAAATCTCAGGACTTAGGTCAGGGTTACCACAACCAGACCTACCTGGCTGCAGAGCCATTTCCTCAGTGGAGGACATAAGTTACAGTCTCTCTTCCCAGCCTTCTGGTGACTGAAAGCGCCACTTACAGGCTGGTCGAGGGGGTACAGATGGAGCCTGTAAACCTAGGTTGGAACAGAGTTTTTTTGTTTGTTTGGTTGTTTTTTGTTTGTTTGTTTTTTGTTTTTTGGGGTTTTTTTTGTAAGCTGAGACATCCTGCCCCAGCTGTTGGCAGCTCAGTGGCAGCTCAGCTCAGGCTGGGAATTGAACCAATGACCCTGTTGCTCAGAGCTCACACTCTTCAGTGAGCTCTTAATCAACTGAGCCACTCAGCCGGTTCATGGAACAGAGTTTTAATGTGCACTAAGCTAACTGGCCAATCCAAGATGAAATCTACAACCTTGTCCTCTTCTTTTTTTTTTT